AGACTAAACAACTAAAACTACCACAACAGATTTTTAACAGAACCAAAGTGTTATGCTTTTCAAGAGTGTCATGTGTTGAAGGAAATGCTTTGGCACGGGCTATGTTCCTCTTGATAACACACAAACATGTGATCTGTAAGCGGAGGTATCGTAATACTCATCACACATTACCAGTAAAAGGTTCATTATGGTGTGTCACAAAACCTTTGACAGTCAATATTTAGATGAGATTATCACAGGATTGTTTATGCCTCTTGTTGGATTATATGTCTGCTCTCCTCTGGCAGGCCTAATATTAACAATGCCAGTGTTCCCTTTCACTGAATTTTGCAAGAATTGTATTAAGGCTTATCATCACACTATATACACACATTCCTTTTGAGTTATGTAATTGCTGTTTGTTCCATATGAGAAATCATTAAACCATGACGTTGTAAAGATGATAAATGCCTCAAACGCCCTATCAGATTTAGCTGGTTAAACAGTTAATGGAAAACACTTAATTTCACAACTTAACTGTATGTTTATCATCACCAGATGCCAGACTATTTGATATCAGGCAGCACAAGTGCTCAGTGTTATTGCAGTTGTGTAATCTTGGTTAACAATGTTGCCCCATTACTGGCAACTAACATGTTTTTCATTCTTTGATTTATTGTCTTGCCCTTTCTGTCAAGGACAGTGCGTGATAGCTGGGTTAGAGATGTAGCTGGGTTATAAGTATTTTACATATGTTAAGCATTTGCACAACAGACCGCTTTCAAAACATATCATACCATGAATTCTTGATCAACACCGGAGTTACAGATTGTATGGCTAAAACACTCCATCCCAGATCTGTCCTGCTTTCTGAGTGCAGGCATCTCCACCTGAGAGGAGATGGGTGGTGGCACCCGGTGTTGCAGTGAGTGTGTGGGTGCCTCTGGAGGGCTTGGGCTGAGCTGTGGTGTGGGTGTGCCAGAGTTGCGATGAATGCACAAACAACAGAATTTGTGGTATTTGTGTCACCCCCACCTCTTACATCACTTCTGTGAGTTAACCCACTGTTTGGCAGAGAGAGGTGCAGGTGGGGCTGCTGTTTGGGTGTATGTTTGGGTGGGGCTTCAGTGGGTTGGTATGCTGAGCAGATCTTTCAGATTTGTTTTTGCCCCCCCCCCCCTCCCAGCTGCAGTTAGTTGGTGGCCTTGTGGCCCAACAGGAAGGAAGCCCGTGGGGCAAATGACACAGCCGGCTCTTTGTTTTCACTAAGTGTAATGTTTTCCCACTCCCTCTCTCTGCCTTCTGGGCCTCCATCATCATTCATTTTCTGCCTCCTCGACAACTCCCCCCTGGACTGTTTCTGTCTGCTTATTGCAGATTCATGCTCATACACCTGAGCTGGCAGCCCCGGCATTGCAGTTAAAGGTTGTCTGCGGTGTGCCAGTCAGCTGCAGGTCCAATGCTGCATTTGCATTCTGCCTTTTTGGGGGGGGGGTAGTTGTGGGGATCCCACCGCACTGCAGGTGGTGAGAGGTAATTGGCACCATTTGAAGTTTTTATTTCTCCACCAGAAATCAGGACTGAAGAAACTCTTAAAATGTGTCTTATGATTACAGGGATAAGTGGGTCAAAGGTTGAGGATTAACTTACTTGTTAGATGGGTCATGTTTTACTCTTTTCTTTTCTCAGACTGCTCCAGTTTCATATAACACAGTGTTACACAAACACACACAGTGTTTAGTGAGTGTTTTAAAAAATGCATGTTGTTCAAGAATAAGAGTCTGTGACATGCCTGTACCTCTTACATCACATGATTGGTCAACGCGCACTTTGGGGGGGGGGGGGATGCAGTTGAGTCTGCAGGTGAACAAGGTCTTTGTGTTTGAGTATGATAAATGATGAAGACAGTGAAGGGGGTGGTTTGGGGGGGCCACAGTGGGCCCAAAGCTATATCGGGGCAAGGCCACTCCCTGTTCCAGCTCTCTTCACTCCACCAGCTGCCTCAGCCCAATTTGAATGTGAACAACTGCACGTAGCATTTAACGTGTCATCCACCTCATCACTCACTGCTAAGAGCTTATCTTAAACCAAAACTGCACACTTTAAAAACTTAAATAATTTAAAGATTTTTCACTGTGTGTCTTTCTCTCCTTCCTTACTTTATTTTACCCTATTTATCCACCTCTAACTTTGCTTCTCATCACTCTTCCTTCACATTTTTACCTCTTTATTGTTGCTGCCTCTGATCAGACAACACTTCCTCTGCCTGTAACCTCTTTATAACAAGGCTGGAGATGTGCACTGAGCCGCAGGCTACAAGCTAGTTATGTAAATGTTTTTGATCTTTTTCGCTTGCTTGTTCTTTTGATTTGGCTTGGAAATACTGGAGTACTTTTCCAAGAATGCAGAGCATTTTTTTTTTTTTAAAGAAACCACATCTTCTGTTTTGCTTATGTAATGATAATGTTTAAGTCAGATAGGTAATGAGAACTTCCAGTGTCAGTAACACGTTTGGGAATTGTCCCTTTAGGGTTGTTAATGACAAAGAAGTAGGTCATGTCAACAGCACTGTGATTAAACTGTGTACATCAGAACTTATGCACTTGCTTAGAAGCTATGGAATAATGTTTACAGGTGCAGGTAAGAAAAGGGTCAGTGATGAAAACAGTTTAAAGTTAGGTCAACAGATTGGCTGCCTGCATTTGCTCCTTATTTGCACACAGTGCAGGTCACTGTACAGCTGTTACAGTATGTAATAACAGATGCGATATACAGAGGAATTTGAATTTTGTGGTCAGGCAGGGGAATTCTACAGTTGTGATACCTGCATCTGACCTGGCTTCGTAGGCATCCTGGAACCTGCCCCAAAAATGTGTTAAAAGCTTCTAGTGTATCTTCTTGGAAACAAACCAGATCTCTGCAGTCCGGGGGTCCCCCGGTTCACTTCTACCCCCCCCCCCCCCCCATTCTGCTCCACTAACCTATTTCTCCAGGCTGCAATGGCGAATCAGGTAACATGAGAGCCCTGTTTCTGCTCTGTTTGCCAAGAGCATCTCTGCTGCCAGAGACAAACAAGCGTGACACGGACAGAGCCATAACCTTCATCGATCCATCCACCAGCCCACTCCCTCTCCCCCTCTTAACTTCTCCTTTTCTCTCTCCTCCCTTCCGCACACCCTGACCTACTTTCCTCCTGACCTGTTTATGCAAGCTCCGCTACAGCAGCCAAATCAGGAAAATAGAGAACGCAGCAAAATTCTAGCGGAGCTTTGCTGTTCCTTGCAGGGAGTGTCACCTTGGTACGATCCCATGGGTGCTACGTAGGGCAGATGTTGTCAGGAATTCCATGTTTACTGAACAACTCCACAAAAAGGGATGGCAATCTGCATGCATTTTTTGTCTTTTTTCGTGTGTGTGAGGGAAAGTGCATCGGGATGTGTGTGTGCATGCCTGTGTGTGTGTGACTGAGACCATTGTGAAGGGCATTGATGTGTCAGCCTCAAAGAGGTGCTTTGTTTGCAGGCTTAGATCAAGTGCACTGGGTTAACTTTCCTCCCCCCCCCCCCTCACTGCTACTCCCTTTGCCCTTTATGTTGTTATGAACATGACCCCGTTTTGGTTCATAAGAGAATGGGAGACAAAGAGAAAAATTAATTATTATATAACCGTATGTGCTTACAGGACAATCCACCCACTTTTAGGGACCGATTGTGTAACAACAACATCACATTGTATTATATTGCATTGAAATGGAGATGGACTTCAGTTCTACAATTTGCATTCAGGATTATTGAATTTTGACTTCAAGTATCTAACCACTCATATAAAAGCTGTATACTCCTTAAAATATGACACCATATGGCCTGTGAGTCTGGATTTGGACTCTGATTACACAGCAGCCTTTTCTGTGTCAATATAAAGAATGCAGTGGGACTTGGCCAGGAGGCTGGCGGGACAGTTGAGCCGGCAGCAGCAGTCAGAGGCTCAGACTGTCTCTGTCCCGGCTTTGTCCTGCACATCACGCAGAGCTGACTCAGATATAGGCTGTTTAGTTTGAAACATTTTACAGTTTGGGGTTGCAACTCTGATATAAATATTCTGGATTTCAGGGCGGGGCGGGGCGGGGCGGGGCGGGGGGGCAGTAGAGGCTGATTTTATTCGTGTTCAGCTTGTTATTTGCAGAGTGCCCCTTAACGTTCAATCAAGGTCAGGTGGAGTAAAAGTAATGAGACATTAAACAAGTTTAAACAGGAGTCTCTAGTGCAGAGGCTATAATCAGAGGAGTGTGTGTGGGAACCTATGCAAGTTTTCTGCTTAACGTGAGCACAACATGTGATGATATGTTCATGCACTAAGCTCATGTCTATTAGTAGAAGTAGGCCAGTGTTACATCAGACAACTATGCCAGGGAGTTTACTGGCCCCGCTGGACAAAGTGTGTCAATGCGAAGCTCCTCTCATTGCAGATTAGCCTCAGATGCCATAAAGGGTACGTTGCCCACAGAGAATGGCAAGCTCTATAAAAGGCTTTCTCTGCAAAATGGAAACAGGGTGTGCCTCTCAAGCTTCACCTTTGTCTAAATCTTAAGTTTCTGAGAAAAGTCAGATAGACAACCTTCTATCAAACGGGGGTATGTTTTTATATAATAGTTTCAAGAACTGTTTTTAACTGTGCTCAAGGAATATATAAGAAAGATTTATTCTGCTTGGTTGCCGATGGTGATTCATTCTGTTATGCCAGTGAGTAATGTATTACCTAACTGGTGGTTCTGGCATAAGGTTTCTAGAACATCATCTCAGTTAGATAGGATGACGAGCCAGGCTGTCAGCTTGTATGTGCTGGCCACAGACTGTGATTGCTATGTTCACAGTCACTGCTGCTTAAAACCAAAATGGCTGCTCACTTCAGTGTTACTCTTGCTTCGTTCGTGGGCTATTAAAGTTGGTTGATAATTCAGTTATAAGCGTGCGTGTATGTTGTGCAAAACCACACAAACACTGGTGAAAGAATGGAGAAAAACATTTCCTTTCCATGATATGTTGATAGGGTCAACATTCTTTTTATTTTATTTTTCGGTCTTGAAATGCTCCCATCTTCCACAATGAACATTAATGTCTTTACATACATATTCATGTCAAAAGGAAGCTATGGTAATGACCAACCAGACCAACCACCACCCACCTCTAAACACCACACTATCGTTGCCTGTTTTTTGTCCTTCTTTTTCATATAACCATCAGCAAAACCACAAACATTACTGATTAATACACACTGAAAAAAGGCGAGAGGGGAGCAGAGGAATGAGGCAAATACAAGTCATCACAGTCAATAGGAAAAAAGACACAGTATAGAGGAAAATACCTTGACAAAAAAAGAGGATATAAAACCAATGAAATAAACATTACAGTGTTGTTCGAGGGTGGGGGGGGGGGGCTTTACATTTATACACAACTACCAAAAAGGCCAAACATGGACCATAGACTTTTGTTAAACAAGGATCCAGTGCAGGCAATTCATCACTGCCCAGTAACAGAGCTTCACGGGAAAGTGATGAATAAGCCCTGTAATGAATAATGGGTTCACATTGGAAACAAGGGGGCGTCCTTTTCTTCATTTATTCAGATTGTTGTCGGGGAATTTTAACGCTGGCACCAATTGGAGGGTTAGAGAAATTTGGTTTCGCATTAGCTTTTATTTCATAATAACTCAATTGTCTGGGATCTAATATGAGCCTCAAGGGCCATGCTTGGTCACACTACAAAACCTCATTTCATATCAGTAAATGTACAGTAACTATGGAGGGCTCTGTTCTTAGGTAACACAGAGGAGCATGTTCAGAACTCAGTGCACTGTAGTGTGTTTACATGAAAGTGACTTCACTCCTCCTGCATTTGCCCCAAGCATCCCATGCCGACATTACAGTTCAAGGCTGCGGCCTGTATCTAAAAAGGTCTGTACACAATGTCTGTCTATGTTCCTGTGGGCTTTTCTACAGTGATGCGAGTGGAGAAGAGGGAAATAAATACATTGGGCTAGTGAACAACAACAACAACAACAACAACAACAACAACAACAAGATATGGTTGATAAAGCTCAAATAAACTAAAGGCTTATAGCCTGCAGCTGGTGAATTCCACCGAATATTTAAAGGCTGGTTAAAGGTTAAGAAATCCAAACATTTTAATGAGGCCCTTGCCTCAGGAAAAAAAAACATGTTCTCCATTCAGTGCTGTTGGCGCTCCAAACTGGACGGCCATTTCTGTGTAAACAGGGCATTAAAAAATTATTAATGCTAAAGCTTCACAATCAAGAGAAAGGTGTTTTAATTTGAATGGGTCCTGTAGCAACAGTGGACAATGTGGCTGTACAGTAATTGCAACTCATAATAGGATGGTCACTTTCAAAACCCTCTTTTACCATTGCAGGTAGGTGGCATTTTTTGTTGAATTTGTATTCAAATTTCTTTGTAAAATATATATTTATAATAGATACATATATTCATATACACAGTAATATACAAACCAAGTGCTTAAAAAATAAAGGTGATGGCGATCTTTTGTGAAATAATGGAGATGGTTGGGGAGAGTATGGGTTGGTAGAGGTAGGGTCTGGGAAGAGGTATGGAACTTAATATTTGTAGTGTTGGTGGTGTTGGCGCTTCTTTGGTCGAGGGAAAATCCCCAGTGTATGTTTGCATTTGATTTTAATTAAGGCAGATAGCCATACATGTGTATGTTTGTCTACAGTCAGATATGTACCAAATTTATAGTACTGATAAAGCTCAAAACTTCTCATTTTCCTACATTCTTGTTTGTAAGTGATGTTGCTGATGTATGTTGTTGGATGACAAAGGTAGAAAAGTAGGCAGTTCCATTCCTCCTCTCATCACATAAACAAAAGTGCTTCTGTAAGTATGAAGAAGAAACAACAAATCTGTACAATATATGCAAATATGATACAGCCCTACAAGATGTCCAGCCTTTTAGGTGATATTCGGGGTAGGGGTGTAGAAAAGCCCAGCTTCCTGTCCCAAGGGCGTTAGGAGGGGATTTGATTATAGGGCAAAGGCATGATGGCAGGGTAGTTCTTAGAGACCAAATGTCTTTTGTTTAAGTCTTGACAAGTTCTATAAGTGTAGGTCTCCTAATCTCGCCTCTTGTTTCGTCGTCCACCTGTCTCCTTTTTCCCACTGTCTTTCCTGGCGCCCTCCCCTGAGGCCGCCTGTTTATAGGCTCCACCCTGGCCCTCTCTGTTAATGTTCTGCTGTGGCGTGAGGGACAAGTAGGGATGCTGGGGAAGGGGGGGTGGTGTAGCAGAGGGAGGGGTTGTTGGGGACTCCTGGCCAGAGCAGTTGCCACCACTGCTGCCGCTGCTCATGGCCCGATGTTTGAGTCTGAGTTTGTGAGGCAACGCTGTGCCCTTCACCTCCCCCTGGGGATCCCGGCCCTGGGCCTGCGAGCAGGCCTGGGAGGAGGGCAGAGGCGAGGCAGGCTGGTGGAAGCCGTTAAGATGTTGGATGTGGTAGCTGACCATATCTGAGCAGGACGAGGAGGGGGACTCATCATCATCCGTGGAGGCCTCTTTGTCAGAGCTGCGGGGATCTCCATCACTGGATGAGGTGTCCTTGCCAGAGGAGCTTGATTGGCCTGGGTAGTAAGCCTCTCTCCTGGGCCCGCCCTCGTAGGTAAGCACAGGTGGCTCCTCGTCTTGGACACTGAGGTACGAATGATGAGACTGCTGGAGATGGTGGTACAGGTGGGAGTGGGTGACCCCCTCCACTGGTTTGTGGAGGAGCTCTGCAGACGAATTGCTGGTGTCTTGCTGGTGCTGGTGCTGCTCCTGCTGCTGGTGCTGTTGGGGGAGTTGGCAAACTCTGTACACCTGTCTCTCTCCTGCCTCATTATGGCTGTCTGAGAGCTCATATGGAGGGGAGTCTAATGTCTTCCTCTCCAGCTGTTTTGTCACCTCAGCCAGTGTCTCTGTGGAGCTCTCTGTAATGGACTGGGACAGTCGGCTGACACGTGTCTGGCTGCTGCCGCTGCTCTGCTTCTGGGCTGCCTGCAGATCGATGTCATGAGTCCTCGTCAGGGCATCCACAGGATAGGAGGCACTGCTGGAGCCATACAGAATGACGCTCCTCTGGGCAGCAGGTGGTTGAGGGGCAGGCTGACTGACAGTGTTGATAGCAGTAACAGACTCCAGATGGGTTTGTTGTTTGTGGTGGTGGTGCTGCTGCTGCTGCTGCTGCTGCTGCTGCTGCTGCTGCTGCTGTTGGGTGTGATATGCCGCCTCCAGCTCCTGAGAATGCTGCTGGATCTGGTGGTGAGTGGGCACAGAGGCTAGACCACGGTGGATGTTGAACATGATCTGGGTGGTGGTGCCATTGGCAATGTCCATCTCCAGCCTGTCACCTTCCTGTTTGATCTCAAAGGGAACTGGCTCAGGGCTGTCCCTGGAGGAGCCGTCAGACATGTCAGAGAGGGAGCCACGTGGGGAGTATTTCACCAGCTGCCTGTGGCCCTCACTGCGTCCTGACTGCTCAGTTTCTGAGGAATCAGAGTTCATCATCACCTGAGAACCGCTAGAGTAACTGCTGGAGTAGTACTGAGTGGAAGAGGAGGAGGATGAGCCTCCATTTCCTGTGTTGTTGCCTCCACCTATCTGCTGGCTCTTTTCAATGTAGGAGGCGGTGCTTATAAGGCCGAAGCGCAGCTTCAGCTGGAGCAGCTCCGTCTTGAGCCTCACGTTCTCATCATTCAGTGCAATGACACGGTTCTCCAAAACCATATCATTGAGACGTCGCTTCTCCCGGGAGCGCTTGGCGGCCTCGTTGTTTTTGCGGCGTTTCTCCCAATAGGAGGCATCCTTCTTCTCATCAGAAATGAACTCACGCTTTCGCCTGCAGCTCATATTGGGTTTGGGCTTGATGAGGCGCCCCATGCGAGTTGGACTCCCCGGGACCGAAGAAGACTCTTCATAACCGCTGAAGGGCTCAAGGCAGTTTAGGTTATTCCCTGAGTTTTTGTTTAATGTTTTTAGAGCAGAAGTAAGATTTTCCATTCTTGTCTAATGGCAGCCAGTTTGAAATGATTCTTGGTCAACTTGGGTCAGAGGTCACGGAGAGGAGGGGGTTGTGATGAAAACGACCTTTGAAGGTTTCGCTCAGAGTTCTTGGTCTGTTTATTGCAGGTTCAGTGTAGTTATGACAAGAGGGGACTCAAGTGTCCAAAAAGATAAAGGACAGCTGTATCTCAGCATTAGCAACCCTCATTTATCCACTTGAAGGTTTTTGGTTCAGTGTCCTAGATCTCCACACGAACAGCAGGATGTAGGTTGGCCCGTCTACCTCAGCGTGCCCGTCTCTTGGGGAGCCTCGCTCTCGCTCCCTCTGTCTGTCTCGCTTCTCTCTGCAGTTGACTGCAAGATGAAAGGCTGCAGAGATAAAAACAGAAAAAAAGATATGTTAATCCATGTGGACTGCTGGTGCTCCATTATGCATTCTCATATCAGACTTAAAAGTCTTTCTTTTTAAGAGTTTTTTTTGTTATTTTGTTGTTATTCTTTTAAGCATGCATACTGATCTCCACATCTGAACATCTTTGCTTTGCTGTTTTGGCATGTCTAGCTTAAAGTGACTGGCGCCCTGTGCGACCAATGAATGGCCGCTAGACCTCAGTCTGACCTTTTCGCTATTGATCTACTCTGTCTGTAGCCTATGACCCCTGACCCTTAGCCTGGTGTGTTCATGTTGACTTTTGTGATGTAATGATAGCATTGAGTTCATAGCCAGGCTGATGAGCCTGTTTCATCCTGTCACCAAGTAGCAATAAAGACGTCCATATAATTAAAACAAGTATCTGACCTCACACATTTTGAGGCAGCTGAAGGCGTGTGCGGCAACTGAGACAAGTGCACACATGGAATAAATAGTGAAACACCACAGAAATTGCATTAGTGTAATGTGCAGAGCGCACAAAACTGGATTGTTTAAGGATTAGCTCTGAGTATTTGGGCCAGACAGAGCAAAGAATGAGTCAGATACAGGGCTGGTGAGGTTCCCTGGATCTGTTTTAGAACATTTCACAAATGAGGGACAGCCCACCACTTTTCTGCTGAGAAGATGCGGCTGAAACACCGGTACCCCCCGCGTTCATCCGCAGAAGAATGTGGCAGCATTCTTTGCCAAAACAACTCAATGCCAAATCAATGATGCGGAGCGAGCAAATAAGGCAGACAAAGGCAGCAGCCACTACAGGTCAAGGATAAAAGAGGCTGAGACTGGGGCGAGAGATTGGGACGTGTAGGGGCAGCTGTGAGGTGAGGCATTGATAAATATAGGTCAAGGGCCCCTGGGAAGAAAAGAGGCAGGACACGGGCAGGAATAACATGGCCTATTAACATTTGGTTAAAACACAGGGGTGGTTGGAAAGTCTCATAACCATGGAGATGGGTGATTCGGAGCTGAAACACAGCAGGCAGCCCTGCTGTAATGAGCTGAACAGGTGTGCCTGCACACAAAACCAGCTTGGTGTTGAAGTTAGTATAACATCAATGAATTCAAGAGAAAAGTCCACTTAGATTGCTTTGATTGAATTTATCAGATTGGCAAAGTGACTGTAGTTTATAGACTATAGTCTATACTTTTAGCTAAAGTCTCTCCTCGGTTGTGCATTGGTGTTGTATAGTCAAATGTATCCATAAAAATATAGTCACAGTAGGGCCCATCCATATTTAACGGCTGCAGTAAATGTGTCTTACTCAACATCTGCACTCCAAGGTTAAACTGCATTAGCACTATGACACTGTCTGAATCTGTAATGTTGTAATCTTGTGGTTGCACTGGTTATATTCTGCTCTTACCCAAGATCTGACACCATTATGTAACTACAGGCCTATCCTCACAATGAATATAGATCTGAGCCGAGATTCTGTGAAAAATTTTACCTCTAAAATGCAGACAATGGAAGACAGTCACCACAGAACCAAATATAATTGAAGAATATACATTACATTCACTCCATAGGCTATTTATGTTTGAAATTAAAGGCGCTCCAATATGTTTTCCCTCTGCTTGGCTGAATAGTTTAAGGTTATGCTCTTGAGCCTCTGACTTGTGGCTGTTGGGCAGGAGAGAGAACGAATGAGAGGGTAGGCTGTTTCTCAGCATGTCCCACTGACCCAGAAACTGGGGACCGACCGCACTCCCTTGTGTAAACACAACTCTAACTACCTCCACTGTAGGCTTGCTGGAATATAGGTCAGCCAGAGCTGCGGAGGGGTGAAGCGGCAGTAAAGGGAGAGATCTGAAAGAAGACAAAAAGAGATGGGAGGACAAAAAAGAACAAGGAGGCGCAGCCAATTTAGAGCATTGTCTAAATATAGATGGAGGTGAGAGCAAGTGGAAAGGAGACAAAGAAATGGAGGGAATCAGTGAGGCAGAGTTAAAACAAAGAGAGGCATGGAGATGAGGATATGGGCAACCAGAGGCAACTGCGACAATGTTGGTATTGCATAAATAGAAGGAATGTGTCACCCATAGCAACAAAAAGGGGGGAAACAGAAGGCCCAGCCAATCATATCCGATGTTTTCTCCCTTCCTCTGAACCTGTGGCTTGTCCTGGCCAAAAGCAGGTGGCGAGAAAACAACGTTCTGTAACAAAAGGAGGGTGACTGACGTCAGGGAGTGCGTATTTTGCACATGTCTCCCTCAGTCAGGATGAGCTAAACACATGAATGAACTCTTGTGTTTAATTAACTCACAGTGGTGGCTCTCGCTTTTCTCTCTGTGTATGTCTGTCTCTGCCTCTGTAACACCACTCAATATCCGACCACGTGAATGAGCGTGAATCACGCCGACACACAAGGTGTTGTGACAGCTCAGCCTGTAATCCATTTCATTCACCCCCCCCCCCTATTTCTCTTCCGAATTACAACAAACAGGTTTACGCACAGGTGCTTAAAGCCACAACAACAGGAAAGTGGCGAATAAATCACTGCTGCTAGAAGCAACTTCAAATGCAGCCATTTTACTTGCACGCAAAATGTCCAGCTCAAATATACAAATCCACCCTACTGAAGAAAAAACCTGACAGTGAACTGCAGTCCCTCTCCTCTGCACATATTCCCTTGACCTAGATTACTCTTTCCAATTTATCATATATTCTTCATGTGTCATCACTAGGTCTCTGTGGCACTTGTGGAATGACAGCACAGTAAAAGAACCCAAGTTGCGCTCGCGCACACAACCACAGTCCCTGTACCACAAGAGTCTAAATGTGGCAGTAAGCTTTGGAAACAGTGAACCGAGTTCAAACCCCCTGCACGTGTTTCTGTGGAGCGTTTCAGGAAATGGGATAAGGTCTAAAATAAAAGGGGAATGACGAAACTGTTGCCCTCCCCTCTTCCATGGGAAGAATGCAGTATATGGCACGTGGTGGTGCAGGGCTGGGGGTCATGGGTGGGGCCTGCTCGAATTCCAAGTCTGGGGGCTGACTTTATCCTCCCAAGAAAAAGAAGCGGGGGGGGGGGGCGCGCTGAGAAATCGGGCAGCATGTCAGCAAGGCGGAGTCCTCTCAAGCTAGAGCCTTGTTCCACGAACACACGGCCATGTAACCCCTCTCTCGGAAAAGGGAAAAAAACGCAGTGACTCAGTCCATGTGTTGCACCAGTCACATGTGCTCCCGTGGCCTACTAAATGCTGTAATTCGCCTCTGTGCTGGCTCCAAACCACAGCACAATAACAAAGCACTGCCCTCATATTTTATCGTCTTACATGTGCCAGGAAACGTCAAGAGGCCACAAAGTGGGACAGGATGGAAACCGCTCCGTGCTTCTGACCACGAACTCCCCTCCCAGATCTTTATTTAGTAAAGCTGGACACAGACAGGGTTTAATCAAACCTAAATAACCACAGAGCCGTTGTCTCAGCAGTTCAGATCAGTGATGCAATAGGCTTAAAATAGGCTAGGCTACTTGAAAAATAGTATGGGTGTGTTTTGTAGGCTCAAAATTGTATACTTTTTAATAAGTAAAAAAATATTTATTTAGGTCGCGCGGTGTTTTTATCGGTGTGCCAGTCTTATTTCTGCATGCCTGCCTCGTTTCTTTGTTATGGCGGGGCAAGGATTTATTTTGGTGGGGTTTTGATCTGCCTTTCTAGTCAGCGGCGGCTGTGCGCCTCATCCCCCCTCCCACAGGTCTAATGTGACCTACATTCATACAGGGCACAGAGGCCCACTGTGTGCGCCAACCTATTGCAGCGGCCGCTCCATAGCAAAGCGCAGCGCTGCATAGCCACAAACTATGGGTTTCCGCCGATTGCATAATCTGCCCTGTACTTTAATCAATTTTAATTATTTCATTCATTTTTATTATACAGCCAGCATAACCTCTCCGATGTTCCACACACGGTGTAGCCTAGTGCGTAAACATGCTTTCAGTCATGCGTCACTCCACTGAGGGGAGACAGGCTGTCCTGGACACGTCCACAACCAAATCTGATTTTGTAGATCTTTTTTTTAAATCGAGAAAATCGCTTGCTGTGTGAATCATATTAATATAAACTATGCATGTGATGCCTCAATGGACGATATTGCTGGCGAGGAAAGCTGTGAGAGACGAGGGGTGGGGGGCATGCCCACGTGCTGTGTAACAATCACAAAGCAGGGGTGGAAAATGAAGCCAGGAAGAGTTTCTTCACGTTCAAAAACTAAATGTTACATAACTATGTCGATTAGAATATTTAGGCTATGTAGCGCCGATTCATAACAGGAGTTATCTCATTGCACTTTTCATAGGCTAGAGCAGATCCAGGCTACTCTTTGTAATGTTATTTACAGACCCAACAATTCCCACCATGAGCAAGCACTTGGAGACAAAGGCAAGGAAAAACTCGCAGGTAGAAAACTTGAATAGAACCTTGACTTACACACAATTCATAAAGTTGCCGTGTCTTTGTCATCCTATGTGCCTACAAGTTCTGCCAACATTTCACGCCACTACTGAACCCGTGCTGGACTGCAGCCAAAAGGAGTTGTTAATAGCTGAAGTCCATTTTAAGGCCATAATGTAACCTAATGTTTAATTCATTTGGATGGATTGTACACAGTGCAGACAAACAAAAAAAACCCACAGCATTATCATTCACGTAGCAACACATAGTGAGAAATATGTCTTCCCGCACGCCTCCTTTGTTGCGCTGTCTGACAAATCGTCTTCATGCATATTCAATCCTCAGTCATCCGAGGCGACTGCATGGATCCATCTGTGCTATGGCATTTTCTCGCCCTCTCAGAAATAGACAGTCTAAACATTTTCATCTGCTGTGTTATAAAAATGTACATTTCTAAACATAAGCTGTCCCCCTGAGCCGCTCGGGAATAGGTACAGGGACACATCTGACCCACATTTGATCTAGATGTTCGGATCCACACCTCACCTGGCAGCTGCTGCTCTCACCAGAGCCCGTGAACTTCACCATTCTTCATCCTTTCGATCCGAGCCGAGGTTGTAAACAAAGCATAATATGTAAACCTGTCCACATGCGCGGAGGATCGCACCCGTCCCTGTGCTCTGGATTGTGTTGCGCTGCTTCAGACTGCAAGCCTACTAAAGGGTTAACCTGCAGCACAACCGCGTTAACCTTTACAAAGAGCAGCTACACGTGAGAGAGAGAAGTGTGTCCTCTGGAGCCTGCATGGGATTTTTCCAGTTGTCTGAATAGCCTACTAACCCAAAAGAAGCCGAGTATAAATAGCCTATATCTCTGCTTAGAGTCTTCACAACATAACCCTAACACTTAACGATACTGCCATGGGATATTCCCTCTTTATTCTCTTTATAATAATAAATAATAATAATAATAACAGGCCTAATAATAATAATACAGGCTTATAATAATTACTGATAAATCACAATGATCTGAAAGCACATGTATTAGGCTTCAAAACAGAAACTGGGATAAACAGACTAAACTGCCTCTAAAAGCCCCACAACAAACCGTGAATATATGATTGGGGTATATGCTCCATAACACAGCAGGATGTGTTGACCCTGCCTCATTCCAATTGTGGCACTGCTCCAAAATATCCACAGTCGCTTCCGTGCCACTCACCGCACTTTTTTCCTGAAGGAATCCCATAACCTCTGGCTATCCCCCCCAACTCCCACCAACAGACCCTCACGTAATCTTCAGAAGGGGGGAAAAGTCTCAACTTGACACTGAGAAAATGCACCCAAGCACCTAAACAAACGCTAGAGTAACTATATATCATGGAGTAGGCTATAGGCTGCATTTGATATAGCATGTATGTATAAAAAATTAAATATGCAAAAACATAATATTCAGATGAAACTGTCTTTCATATCACACCGGATACTCATTTAAAAGACCCAAACTTACCCTTTTTGTCTAAAAGAATCCACTGAGGACACAGACAATCCTGTTTCTGTCCAAGAATCCGCTTTGCGCATCGGCTACACACACCGCCCGTCACTTTCAAAACACCAGCTCTCTGATTAGTGCAGGTACATGCGAGAGTGAGCGCACAGTGTCGCTTGTCTCCAGTGCGCCCCGAACGTCATGTTTGCTCCACTTCCTCTCTCTCTCCCTCTCTCTCTGTTTTCTTTCTCTCTCTCTCTCTCTCTCTCGTTCTGCTTCTCCCTCAGTCTCTAAATGTATGTTAGTAGGTCAGTTGTTGCATAACAGGACGCTTTGGGTGCCTAGTCACGTTTTTTGTTTCTCTCTCGGCTCTGCCCCCTCCCTCTATCCTCGCCTTCAAATCCTGTTGCTGGAGAGGCGATGCAGGGGGAGGAGGAAGGCCTGGAGGGGGAGGTACTAGGCTCAAAGCCAGATGAAGGCCTATGATACCCATAATAAGGTTACTAGACATTACAAAAGGCAGCACGCAGAGACACGCATAGAAACAAGCCTTGAGCAAAGATTTAAAAAAGAACCTGTACCACTGCAGTGGTGGTAGTTTTGGGAAAAGCAGATTCTCATCCTCCGTGGAGGCTACTTACCAGACTTTGTCTAACAGGCATATGGTTTTCTGAGAAACTGTGTGCTGTCATCTTTTTCCCCCTCTGGTAGCAGACCAGCTTTAAGTTAAAGGAATAGTTCAACATTTGGGCAAATATTTGCTTCCTTGCCAAGAGATAGATGCATCATGCTCTTGGTTGTACAATTATGAAACTACAGCCAGCTTAGCATAGCATAAAGACTGGAAATAGGGCGAACAGTTACTTTGTAATACCACAAGTTGCTTGTCATAGCCCATATTGTTTTTTGTATAAAAGCAAACTAAATTGGCTATAATATAGGCTATTTATTAGCGAGCTTCAGTGGTGCTGGTAGGTGGATTTGTTTCCTTCAATCAGAGCTAGGCTATCCTCGTTTCTAGTCTTTATGCTTTGCTAAGCTGATCAACTGCTAGCTGTAGGCTATAGCTGTATGTTTACCAGACAAATATAAGTGTGGTGTTTATTTTCTCATTTAGGCTAACTCTTCCCAACAAAGCAAAGAGGCCTAAGCGCATTTCCCAAAAGGTTGAATTGTTGCTTAATGTGCCTTTAATAGGCTACTCCCTTATTGTCTTATAGTAGCCTACTTTTTCTCAAGTAATGTAGGCTACTTGGGAAGTAGAGTTTTAATGTAGGCTTAGGCCCTATTTGCACTTTCCTTGAGTAGCCCATTTCTATTTTATGCCACTTTTTAGCTTTTAAAATAGGCTATGAGATTATATAGCCTAATATGATTTGTAGTTATCTGAACCGACCTGACCAAATCTAAGATAGGCCCACACACTAAATAAAAGTAGCTCAACCAACCACGACCTGGCGTAGGCCCGGTTGCCTTGTACCGTTCACGATTGTCCCCCGCTGAGCACATTTACTTCATCACTCTGTCAGCGTTTCCCATCCATCGGTTTGTAGCCTATCAACGCCACATATTGTTATGTGATTTTTTTTTTTTTTTTACTAGTCTTATTTAAAAGTTAAGTAAGTTGATTGCAGAGTGCTGCGCATCTATTCACGCAATATCAACAGTCACTCTGTGGGAAACACTGCACTCTTGAAAAAAAGCACTCTCTCTGGCATGGCACAGTGGAGTTTGTGTCAAGGTTCTGTGCTCAAGCACAGTTAGCATCACACTAGTGCCCGGGCCCACCTCTTCAAGTCGGGCGGGAACCGCACGGACCGATGACACTGGTCAAACGAACCGGACTTTGGCGATTAAACGGGCTCTGGCACGGTACGGTTCGCCTAGTGTGAGTAGGCTACACCAGGGAATCAGTAATCAAATAACCATGTTCAAAGGACCATTTTCTCTGCGTAATGAATTTGTTTAGGTATGATACTTTCAATAGGCCACATGTTGCTGAAAATACTTACTTTATGTCAATTTGTTGAGTGCTTGTTGAAACAAATACTACTACTACTAGAATTTTAAAGAAGTTCTTCCTTGAAGCATATTGCAGACTGAAATTATGTAATAAGAGGGAATATTTTTCACTGAACAATGCAGGCTGTTTTAGAAGCTGATTATGTTTTGTATTAAAAGTAATTAAGAGACCATTTCGACCCATTATTACATCACTCAGTACTCATGGGTCAGACCACACCCATGTTCGAACTTGTGCTCCATTTTCCTCACCTGTAGGCCTAAAGTTTCATGACGGTATCATGTTGACAAAATCTGTCTACAGACAGACAGACAGGCAGGCAGGCATATACCTGACACCTGACAAAGTACTCAAAACCGCTTCTGTGCTTACTGTAGGTAACTCCAGGGACACATTTTGCCACAATGACACAGACCCACAAGGCATGGCTGGTAAATATGCAGGTAAATGAGATGAAGTAAACACAGAAATGTAGTGATGTAGAAATATAAAGTAGCATGGAACAGATGTACTGAAGGAAAGTACATCAAAACTGTTCTTAAAGTATAGGAGTAAGTATACTGAATTTACAAAATGATGTGGATTCATGTCCTATCTGGTTCACATACAACAGAAAATAAGTATCTGTGGCAACTACACCCAAAACAACAGAGTTGTGCAGCATCAGATCAAGATTACACTGGAGTGGGCCCACACCCTGTAACTATTCATCTACATACCTTTGTGTGAAATGGAGTTTTATTTTTATGACCCCCTGCTTTGAAGCTTGCCTGTCATTTTATTGTTGCAATAGGCTGAATCTACTTCTGCCACACGGTGTTGAATAAGCTAGTTCAACTGGCTCCTCTGGCCAGGATGTAACCATATTGTGTAACTGAAGTGTGTGTTTTCAGTCATCTTGATCACAAGCAGGAGTGTGTGTCATGCTAGCAGCCACAAAGCATGGAAGGGGAACTATTTTGTCAGTGTCACTCCCCTGATCTTAATTGAAAAGCAGATATTGGAATAAGCTCAAATGGTTGAATGGCTCTCTATCACACAGACATGCTGTGTATCAGACTCTCCCCAGGAGGAAGTAACAAATGTATTTCGATTATTTGTTTTGGGCAGCTCCCATTTAGTTGGAGGAAAGCACAATTTAAGTTGCTCATGCGCGTAATGATTTGCAATGCAGACAATAGCAGCTGTGTAGTTTGGATTGTCATTGAGGCAAGTCCTCGTGTCAGATGTGCCATCTTCCTCCATCCTACTCCAGACACAAGGTCTGTTCAGTGTCTTGGTAAATGTGCAGTACAGTACAGAGTGTTTTAAGCTGGAAGAAAAGTGCCTGAATGTATGCCTTGAGGGCTGACGTCTGCTGCGGATGTGTTCACTCTCTCTTTTTATCTCCAAGGCTGTAGGCTACCATCTTTTGCATGGGAGTGAAAGGGGTGTGTGTAAATGTGAGGGCATGCTCAGAAAACCCTGTGCCCTGCGTTTTTCCTCCTTTTCATCATCATCATCATTTTCCCACAGAGATGCTAGGTATGTTCCACATTTCACCGTATTGCAGTAACATTTGAGCTTGGTGCATACAGTTGCATTAATTGCAGCAATTATCCCGCATAATTGGATTGTTTTGTTTCCTTGAAGTGTGTTAAGGACTTTTCACCTTTGATACCACAGTAATTATGTTCATGTGTTTGTCCACGCTCTGGTTTGTTGAATACACTCAATAACTGTCTGTCTTAATTAAGCTAAGTGACCAATTTTTTGTTGTTGTTGCTAGTTCTTGATTTGGTGTTATTGTTCTTTTATACACACTGTCAAAGTCTACAAATCAGCCCAGCTTTGTGAAGTTGCTACCACCATCTTTTTTTTTTTTTTTTCTGCCATTCATTCAGGTTCCACGTCACACCTACACCCTGGGACACTGCATTATCACAGGGTTACCCCAAATGTGGAGCTTCAAATTTGAACTGAATGTGGATCGCCTTCCTTTTCACCTCTTTGTTTCCTTCTTTAGCTGGAGGAGACAAACACCACTTAAGGAGCAGAGGCACTGGCTATGAACTTGGATCCCCCTCCCCCATAAAAAAAACACACACTCTCTCTCTCTGTCTCTGCATCACTCCCTCTCTTTTTGCAACCATCCTTATCCCCACCCTGCCCAACGTTTCCCCCCTTCCAGCTATGTCTGCAAGCGTTCCCATGGCAACTGTCGCACTGCCTGCCTAGCAACAGGCTTTATCCTTTCATTGGAAAATAAAGGGGGGAACAGGATGGGGGGTTGGGGGGTTGTGGGGATTGCGGTTTTTATATGGATGCATGGCTGTGGGTGAGGACGGTAGCGTAACAGCAGCATGTTGCAGTAGATTCATTAAATCAGACTCCCGTCCTCTCTCCCCTCCACACCTGCAGCGTCTGCCTCGCCTCTACCTTATTACCTT